TAAGCAGTTTTTATTACACACAGGCTAAACCTCAATAGCAAGCAGCTTCTCGAATCGAATGTCCAACCGGGCTTGGTTCGCGAGGGTCTCTCGCATCCCCGCGCAACCAATGTCGACGAACGGAATATCGTAGAATCGGTTTTCAGGAGTATAGACGGGCTCTCCGTCGAAACTTGAAGGATAGTATGCCGAGTAGCATTCGATCGTCCCAACCCGGCCGAGTGCATGGCATCTCTTTTGAAGCATATTGCATAACGACTCGACGTTTCTGATTTTTCGTTCTGAAGGGTTACAAGTTACAATTCCAGTATCCACAATTTTTGACAATTAGCTTCTCGAGATTAGGACATAGAAAAGCGTTAATGTCCTGAGACTCGGCTGTCTCCTTCACGGACAGCATCTCGACAAGATCGGGCGTGTATGGGTCGGTTACCAAGCAAAGTGTTTTCAAACCCGGCATAAGCTGCAGAAAGGGGGCGACAGTGTCTCCGCCCACCCTTATGTGAGAAAGCTCGTAATACTCCAGAGCAGGACGGGACCGTACAAGCATAGCCGAAAACTCCTGGCTATAGTGGGGAAAAGAAAGGAGAAAAGGATTGCAAATCAAGCGTTTCAGTCCTGGTAGGACCAACCTGCTGATTAAAAATGCAGAATCACCATTGTCGTCGACTGCGAGAGTGTGCAGTCTAGCCAACGTGATAAGAGAGCTCTGCGGAGCATCGGATTCGCAATGGATGGCCTTAAAAACGAGAATTTGAAGGTTCGGGATGGCTTGCAATAATTGTAGGAAAACAGATTGCTTTATGCTTGTCTCGTCAGACGCGCTAAGTAACGTCAATTCCCTCAGATTAGAGACTCCCCCGGTTGTGATGCGAGGAATCCCTTCGAGGTGTAAACTCCTCAATCTTGGAGAACACGAAATGTCAAGATTAATTTGCGTCATGTCATGGAGCTGAGCGAGCCCGACCCAGCAAAAAGGCAGAGATTCCAGGAGTGGTGCGTCAACAAGGCCAAGTTGCGGTAGTATCCTAGGATCGTGCCCGATAAAGGTACAGGAAGCGTCCCTCCATCTGTCTTGATGATCCAATAATTTCCTTAGAATATGCGCCGTGATCTCCAATTTCGGCCCTGGAGCGTCGTCCGGATCACACCAAGTCAGCCAGGAGCAGGAAATATCACCCACAATCCTAAGACGAAGAGGAGATACTCCGGATCGAGAGAGCCAAGTATCGACTGCATTTAGGAACCACTCATCTCTCTGCGCGCTGTCGTCTTTGCATATGAGAACGGTAATCTCGGTCCATAGTGACGGGCATGACGTGGCAAGACTGCGCCATAGACTGCAAACTTGGCTGAGGCGCAATGGCGCTAACATGGATTCCTCGGGCGGAATGTCCTTTGGATAGTCGCTCGGCCGCATCCACGAGTATCTCATAGATTCCAGATGCGGCGTATCCCTCTGCGACATTTGTGGAACACGCTCGAAGATGTCCATGAGAATCTCATCTGGGAGATTGTCAATTGTTATTGTGCTACCCCGTTGTCCATGATGGTGAACCTCCGGTGAGTCAGGGGAAGAAGACATTTGGTAATAATATTTGTCTGTATATCTTGTTAGGCGTTGGTAAAAATCAATATGAAGAGGGCGCACTTGCCGATTGAAGACAGATGGTTCGAGTGCGCAGGCCGGTACAGCGAATCACTGTTGGTGCACAAGTAGTAGCATTCGAGATCGAAATGCGCAAATTCTTAGCTGTCATGGCCACTTCCGTGCCACACACAGCGTTCCTATCAAAATGGAAAGAACCACATTTTATGGGCCATGCAAACAATGCGATGGTCCCAGTCGTGCGCACTTAGGTCCAACGGCCGAATGCACCGCAATGGATCTCTAATGCTGTAAACTCTCGGGGAAGAGCTGATAGATGATGGCATTAGACAAGTCAAGAGGAATATTCGATGCATAATAGATACGAGGTTTGGATAAGTCGTGGGGTAAGAGGAACGACGAAACACGTCCAAAGTTTCTGTTCTGTTTCGTTTATTAGGTTAGCGTCACTTTACTACTAATCAGTCATGTGCCAAGTCGGCGAGTCCCGAGGCTGACTTAGTGACTAACGGTGAGGTTCAACTTGCCTTATTACTTTCAACAGGGAAAGTTGCTGTTACGGTGTGTCTGGGATACTCTGGAGCAAGGGGACAACCCTACTGTAGGTTCTTCCATTAAATAATTTCAACCAGAAACGCAGAGTGTATCCGGCGTTTGACGCGCTGCTTTTGTGTATGAGACGTTCACGTTATGACTTATGAGTGTATCCGAACTTTAGTGTCCATTGCAGGAGTTGAGTCAGAATAACTAAGTATATTCGACAAATGCTATATTACTGTGGAATTGACTTCCCAAATCCACATCCAAAGATTCCAAACCCATTCACACTCTTAGGTCATAACGTATCGCCTACATCGAAAAAAATATAAAACTGCATTGAATAATCACAGAAATGCAATTGTATTTAATTGGTTTCACGGTGTTAGTCCTGTACACTCAACGCCGACTCAACGAACTCTCGAATCGAATGTCAAATGTGCCTGCCTCGGCAATGGCTTTACGCATCCGTCCCTTCTTCTCCAGATGCAAGCCATCCATCACCAAATCGAACACGAAAATGTATTGGAATTTACTGCTAAGACATATATTTTTTACATATTGTGGATCCTTATATTCGCTTATAAAGTCTACATGTAAATATATTGTCTTGTCAGACTCTGCACGTTTTGGTGATGTCCAACGGGATGAACGGGAAAACGAAGCTCGTGGTTCCATGATTACCGTCAGAATAAGACTCTTTCGGGAGACATTTTATGACTGCTACCAGGCCAAGGACCATGCATCGTATCTTGAGCGACTCGTAAAAAAGCAAATCAAAGTATCCACCATCCGAATCGACAGTCAGTTGTGTTTCATCCCAACAAAAAACTTTTACACTGAGCTCCCTGAGTTTAGGGCACAGATATCTGTTACTTCCTCTACTATTTGATGCCAGGATGTTGAAGACGACCATGGGTGTAATAATGCTGCACATTAGACAGAGAGTTCTTAGGCGCGGAAACTTTAGAAGTAGGGGGTAGAGCAACGCAGAATTGACAACAGCACCAGATATCTCCAGGTGTTCCAATGGAGGCCTAGATCGTTCAATCATATTATAAAGTATTCCAGCGTGATCCTTGGGGGAAGGGTGGCAAAGGAGACATTTCAATGCTGGCACAGACAGCCTGCTCATGATGTATGCAGAAACATCCGTCCTGTCGACCATTAACGTGCGAAGCTTCCTCAAAGTTATATGGCGGTGCAAGCCTTCCTGAGCATCAGATGGATCTAAAGAGCCCACCATGCACTGTACTTGAGAGTTTCCAAGTGCGGGATGTTGTTGAGCATTTCCGAATAATCATCTCGCGAGACCATGACCGCCATACCATGTAAAGACAGCTCCGTCAGGGCATCAAGTCGCGCTGTCTGAAGATAAGGAACGCCTTCAAGTAAAAGAGATCTCAGTCTCTGAGGCCTTTCGATCAAAAGGTTTATGCCTCTCGGTTCACGTGTATCAGTTCCTCTCCATCGTACCGTGAGTTTCTCCAAGAGGGGTACATTGGTCAGCTGAAGAAGCGGCAACCTAGTAGGATCACCCTCTATGAAGGAGAAATATGCTTCTCGCCAGCGTTTCCGCTCTTCAAGTAATCGTGTTAGAATGCATGACGCGGTGTCAAGTTTCTCGTTCGGTAGTCTGTACGTATTGCTCGTGACCGATATATGAAGCGGCAGTGTCTTGGATCTCTTTATCCAAGTGTTGATACTTTCAATGAGCCGCTCGTCCCCGTCCTTGCTGCCGGTTCCATCGACGAGAACATTTATGTTTGTCCATACAGATGGAAGTATTAAGGCCATTTCGCGCCATAACCAGCAGACTTGCGAAAGCCTCAGTGGCAACAACATGGCTTCCCTAAAGGACGCGTTCATAGGGTCCTCATTCGATGTATGACTCCGTGATATCTGTGCGGTGTGAGTGAAAATTTCGCACAGAACATTGAGAGGGACATTGTTAATTCTAGGTTTGTCTCCCGGACTTCCATGCTCCGAACGAGAACGACGAGACGATGGAGAATCAGGCAAGCTCGTCATTTGAAAGTAATATCTTTCTATAAATCCAGTCAGATTCATGACTCGAAGACTATGTGACTGTGCATACCAATTGGAGATTGATGGATCGAGAGGTGGGACAATGGTAGTCTCTGCAAGTGGACGAGTTTTGCGGCTTGGAGTTGCAAATGCCGCTATTTATCGTTATAATGGCCATTACACGACCACATTCGACGCTTCGGCTGAGATAAAAGTAGTGATGCCCACTTAAAATTCAAGGAGAGCTTTGGCTACCCAGAGCAATGGTCCTCATTTTACGCATTTGGGCCAAAAAAGACGCATCGTCCATCAGTATGACGGCCTTTTCGGAGGTACCTATCAGACAAGGTCTGGTGCAATTACATAAGACACGTCAATTGAAATGATCAAAGCATACATGGTGCGTCTTTTGTTGAAGGCGGGATGTGCTGTAATATGGTACTAGTAGTAGGTGACTGTAAAGAAGCAGCTTTTCCCTCCTATAAGACTAGCATAGATATATTAGTGCTCCGCGCGTAGCGTATACGCTTACGCGCGTAAAATTTCCCACGTATACGCATATGCGCGTATAATTACGGGCGTAAACTGGGTCAGCAGGACCCATATATGATACGCTACTTCCGTATACAGCGTATACAGCGTATACGCTGTGCCAAATATAACAAGATACTTTACATTAAAATAGCTCATAAAAGTACACTATCATCTTTCAAAACAAATGCTTGATATTACTGAGCTAAGAAAATGTATTGTAGTACTGTTTACACACAGAAATAAGACAGTTG